CTGCATAAAGACTAATTTTATGCTCTATTTTCATGCCTTTTATACCTGTAACCATATTTGTTTGTCTGATTGTAGCAGCCAGAGGCTCAATGAAAATAGCAAAAAGTGAGGGGGAGAGCGGGCATCCTTGTCTGGTGCCCCTCTGGAGACAAAAGCTGGAAGATGTTTGATTATTTGTCCTGACACAGGCTGTTGGGAAGCTGTATAATATTTTTAACCAATTTATAAAGGAAGTGCCAAAACCAAATTTATGTAGAGTAGCAAATAAATATTTCCAGTTTACTCTATCAAATGCTTTTTCCTGCATCTAAAGACAATATATAGGATTTAAGATTTTTGCTGCAGGAATAATCTATTAAATTCAGCAGTCTGCGTGTGTTAGCAGCTGACTGCCTTCCTTTAATGAAACCAGTTTGATCAGGGTGGATTATGAGAGGAGTGACTTTATCTAATCGTTTGCCAAAGCTTTACAGATTATTTTTATATCCATATTAACTAAGAATATGGGACGATAGCTAGTCGGAAACATAGGATCTTTGCCTGGCTTAAGCAGGAGACTAATGGTGGCAGAATTCATATAAACTGGAAATTTGCCATTATCTTGAGTTTCCTGCAGCATTCTGTGGAACGTTGGGGCCAGAATGTCCCAGAACTCTTTATAGAACTCAGTAGGACCTGGCGCTTTATTATTTGGCATGCTTTTTAATGCTTCCTGAACTTCAGCTGTAGACAGTGGTGAGTCCAGGATCGCTCTTTGATTCTCTGATCATTTCGGAAGAGTTATTTTATCCAGAAATCGCTTGATATCATTATCTGATGGATTTAACTGTGATGTGTATAAAGATTTTTAGAAATCTCAGAAGGCATTATTAATATCATGTAATATATTACCAATTGAGTCTGTTACTGCAAATATAGTCATTTTTTCTTTGTTTATTTTTCAGCTGATTAGCTAAGAAACTTCCTGACTTATTGCTATGTTCAAAGTTGTCAATTCGAAGTCTTTGTTATGATTCAGACTGAGGACCCAGAAACAACTAGAACACAACAGGAAATAACTTTAAAAGATTTATTGAGGGAATAATGCAGGTTTTTCAGGATCAGGGGAGCCAAAGCCTCTGGAGGGGAGAGAACAGGTTAGTGGCTGAAATTGATGATTTTAGGTTCAGACTGATAAGCCACTAACCTTTCTTAATATNTTGTATTGACAAGTGGATCCTCCTGCTGTGGGGCCGGAAGAGGCTCTCTGGTTGAGGTGGAGTCATCCAGCTCTGGTCTGAAGCTGCTGCAGCTCGCTGGAAGCCCTGCTGCTTTGTTTTTGCTTTGTTTTTGCCTCCAGCTTGGCTGGGTGTGACTGCTGTGTTTTTTTTAGACCATTTGATCAAACTGCTGATTTTAATAACTGGCTGTATCAGAGGGTAACCTTATTTTATCACCCATGTGTAAATTGTAGTTTCTTTCTGTTTCGTATTTGCTTTGTTCAACCCCATCCTTTTGTTTCCAGGCCGGGAGCTGAATGCAGTGGGGGGGCATCCAGAGGGACTGGACCAGTGTTTCCGTACGAGTGACCGGTGTTGGGATTTCTCCACGGATTGAGTGTTTATTCACAAGTGTTTGGGGTGATTTATTTTGATTCATTAATCTGTTTATGCCCAGTTTCCACATTTGGATTGCCCTCCCCCCTGCTGGTAGGCCCCAGCATTGCACTCCCTTTCCTATTGTGCTCCTTAAATTTTACTGTTTTTTAAAAAAAAGAGAAAACTATAAAATTAATTATTCTTTTGCATTAAAAGAAGTCTTGTTCTCCTTGGGTACAAACCAATCTACTTCCTTGGGCGCAACTCCCAAGGTGGCGCTGTGACACCCGATGGCTACCCTGCTTTGAAGGGCAGAGTAGCAGCTTCACCCACTGGTGCTGCCACAATCGTTACACACTGCTTATGGCTAGAGATCTAAAATTTCACACAGTTGTTGACCACAAGATGAAGAATAAGTGTAGTAAAGGTTAACTATAAATTATACAAAAGATATAACATAGCAAAAATACTCTTTTTTTTTTTTTTTTTATTCCAGAGGAAAAAAAAGTTTTTTTGGAAATGTTTGAAGTCAGACAGCTCTGGTTTTGTAAAATCTACAGAGTCTGTGCACATATTTACACAGACTAGAAGGTCTTACCTTTCAAATTAGATATATCACAATAAATCACATGTGGGATTTAAAATATCATTTTACTGGACAATGGCACTTTTGGTATGCAGCACATTTGAGCACAAGCTATAAAAGTGTGGGTGTTAAGGGGTTAAAAGGCTGAGGTAGAAGAATTCTCTTGTTTGTAGCATCTTATATCAGTTTAGCTCCAGAGTACCTAAATGCATTGCATAAAAGATTAATCTTAGGAAAAACTTTTGTTAAATATTAATTTTGGTTTTTCTTTTTAAGACCAAGGCAAGTCTCAAGTCTTGGGAAATCAAGTCTAGGTAAAGTCTCAAGTCTTGGGAGCTCAAGTCCAAGTCAAGTCCCAAGTCTTAAGATCTCAAATCAATATCAAGTATCAATTCTTGACTATGCCTGTGACAATGCTTAAATAATTGACCAATAAGTTCTAATTACATTTTTTATTAAAATAAGTGCAATAATTTGTGATGGCATGCTTGCTTTGTGGTTTCATCTCAGTCATTGAAATATTTACCTTGTCCAAGATTTAATCCGGGACACTTTTTCTGCTCAGTAGAAGATGACCTTTAGTGCATTTTTAAAAAGGGCTCAAAAACATTCATAAAAATGATGAAAAACAGCCAATATCTGACTTCAGCAGCAGTACATTATGCATCCCTAGTATGTACACAATTTCAATTTCATCCATTCATCCAGGANACAAAAATTAGGACTTTTATTCAATAGGTTCCAGGTCATGTGACCTACTGACTCCAAATCTATGTCAAATTGTTCTACTACTTTATCCAGATGGGGCACACTCTTTTGTTACATTTCAAGCCTTTGTTCTTGAACTGAATTGAAATTGAATTTATTATTAAAATAATGATATATTTTTTTGGAAATGATAGCTTCCAGGTCATTTATTTTTGTAATAAAAAATTTTTAAAAATATACAAAGGCTTAAAATGGAATAAAAAATAAGTGTGCCCCATCAGGCTAATGTAGGAAAACAATTTGACATAGATTTGGAGTCAGTGGGTCACTGACCTGGAAGCTATTGAAGAAATATCACATTTTGTTTTACAATGAAAAATCTTTAAGTACCTAGTTACCACTCAAAGCTGTGCATCCTGTGAAATAGGTTCTTCCACAGGTTCCAGGTTCTAAGTTTAACAAATAAAGTGTCAGAAATGATTTAGAATGGCGGTAATAGCAAAATAGGGAATTGGCATGCACTAAACACAGAATTTATTTATTGCACACTGACTGAAACACATTGACTGAAACGCGTCTCCATACAAGTAAAATCCTATTTATCTCTCCACCAAAACTATAAACTTTAAGGCATCCATGTATAAGAAATATGA